CAATGAATTGCTAATTCTACATGTGGTCTCTGGTCCCCACCATGTCCCTCAAGGTGGGGACTTTGACCCCACCCCCAGTCAAACTGTGATGCCCAGTCATCCTCCTGTGGGGGTGAGGGCTCAGGCGAATCCTGAGTACTGTCTCCCATGAAGTTTTTCAGGGACAAAGGCAGGGCATGAGGCCTTGACTCGGGTTTCCGTGTCCTGGACCCCAGCGGCTGGAACTGCTGCTCTGGCTTTAATTGGTGCCATGGTTCTAACAATATTCTATTGGGCTGCCTATCAAGTTTTTCTTTCACTATCCCGGCCTTTATCAAATCAACCCACATCTGGGTCCTTGAGACCTTCACGGGGCCTTTTGGACTTCTCCTTTCAGTCATGGCCCGTACTTCCCTTCATGCCCTTATTGTTTCAACCTCCCCCAGATCTGCTAAGGTATGAATAGCCTCACTTATGGGTTGCCCCAGGTGGGGGGGGCAAAAGTATTCACTAGGGACCCAAAGAGAGATGTGGGAGCTGTATGCAGCACCAGGTTTCTCATTCCTATAGTGAACACCTCCTCATCAGGGCGCTGTGGGGTCCATATTATAGATGATATTTTTCACACCCAATTCCCACAGTACCTGTTGGAGCTCTGCATATGCTTTCCAACTACTGGAAAGGTATGGTAAATCACCCTGATTAGGCCAAACTATCCTCATGGCAGCTGTCAGCCATTCCAGGAGTGTCTGATTCCCTGAGGCACGATGGGCATTTTGCAACTGCTGCTGAAGGGAAGGGTGAGTTGTCAGGGATGCCATTTTACTTATCTCAGTACCCAATACAGCAATGTCTTCCACCCCCATATCCCAGAGATGTAAAAGCCATGTAGGCAGAGATTCCGATGGCCTCTGTCTATACTGGATGCTAATGTCCACCAGCTCATCCTGGGTTTAGGGGAAGAGTATGGAGTGTTCCACAACTTGGCAAGGGGGCTGCTCCTCCCCCTGAGGAACCCCCGGCTGTTTTGTTTTTATTTTCTTAATTACAGCTAGGCGGGCCTTTAAAACAGTAGAAGATGGTACCTCTGGTGGTGGCCTGGGTAGCAGACTCACCAATGGGCCTGCCTCTTCTCCCTTGGGCTTCTCCACCAACAGCAATTCCTCCATCATTTCTGGGGCCAAAGGCACTACTCTTCCTCCCGACCCCCACCCTCCATGGCCTCCTCCAATGGAGCTTTTCCTGTTGCCTTCCTCCTTGCCGCTAAAGAGTCTTCTAGGAGCACGACCTGTCTTTTCAGGTCAGACAGTAACTGTCTCTCTTCTTTAACAGCATCCCATAGGTTATTGCCCAACTCCTCCAAGTGATGCTGAAGTGTGTCTCTCTCCCGCCTAAGTCCCTCGATAATCCTCTCTTTCTCCTGTATAACATTTTCCACTATCTTGATGAAAAGGGACCCTATAAGTCCAGCTGCTATACTGGCCCCCTATGGTCTCCAAGCAGTCTTCCAACTCACAGAGGGCTAATCCTGCAGCTTCTGGTGTTTCCACCCTTCCCCATTTCTGGGGAAGGCCCCACCCCTCTAAAAGATACTTTACCCTGGAAAACAATTCCCCTGTAGGGGTTCCTAACTTGGAAACCCCACAGCTGGTGGGATAATAACAGGTGGAGCAGTACCCTCCGCCGCTGCATCCACTGGGGCCTCCCCACCATCCACAGGAGCAGCCCTCCCAAAGGTTGCACCCATTATGACAGATTTCATGTTCAGAGGCACCCTGCCACTGCCACCAGGTGTAAGTCCCGGGAGAGGAATTCCCAGGGCAAAATACCTCTAACAACCAAAATCAGTCAAAGGGAGAAATAAAGTTTAAAACCTGTTTATTGCTTACAAACTGCAGTCTGGAGCAGTTTCTCTCTTTCCTGCTCCAGCAGAAGCAAAACCAGTCCTCTGCCTCACCTCTCAGGTACAGCTAAGCCCTCCTTGCCCAGATAATTACCCATTGATATGGAGATGAACATGTTTCCACCCCTGAGGATATACAAATGCACTATAGCCAGGCAAGATATTCTGGAAATGTTACAATTTTACTCACAAATACACAAGAGATTTATGAATAGTCCAGAATGCAAATTCATTAACTTTTGGTGATGGGTTGTTAGAAATGGCATAAGACTAAATGTGATTTATTCCCAGAGGAATTAATGTTTTAACAAAAGGCTATTAACAAGAAACCTACATGTTAGACTATGTACCACTGACTCAACTCTGGCTGGGAGAGGAGGGAGATTACGAAAAGAAAGGGTGGAAAGAGCGGGCTTGCGTCACTTCCAAAAAAATGCAGGAAAAGTTTTAAACCAGCCAATAAAATTAATACAAATATTTTTTAAAAGCCTAATATAGATATACCTTGTTTAGGCAACATTTGGGAAAGAATGTGAACCCTGTAGTACTCAGCCAATGAGGAACCAGGGGAGGGACTCACGTGCTAAGGAATAAATTGCTTGTTGTAACCACCATGAGTGTGCCTGGTCACCAGACACCCAATCTTCCAAGACCGCCATTAAAGTCTCACTCTGCTGTTCTCTTTGACTAAGTTTGGACCAGTGAGCGTGTTTCTCATATGGATTTATTTTCCCATAACTGTTTTTTTTCTGTCTCAGATTTTATCCCGAGATAGACTAATTGGAAAGTTTTTAATTGAGTACAGAATCCGAGCTAAGACAGTTCAATAGTCCTCAGAAATATTTCACTCAGGTTATGAGAAAAGACTAATGCTTTCACAACCAAGTATCCTTCTGTAATAGTCTAAGTTTTTGTGTCAAATAGACATATACTCTTAGTATTGGAGAAACAAAATACTTTTGTGCTGTAATCGTTCTGTTTAGACTTTATGTGGATCACATTTTTCTATTAACACATATGTCCTCTGAAATGATGTTGAGTCCGGGGAGAGAAAATCCCGGGGCAAAATACCTCTAAAAACCGAAATCAGTCAAATGGAGAAATAAAGTTTAAAATCCGTTTATTGCTTACAATCTTCAGTCTGGGGCTGTTTCTCTGTTTCCTGCTTCAGCAGAAACAAAACCAGCCCTCCCCTCATCTCTCAGGTACAGATAAGCCCTCCTTGTCCAGGTAATTACCCACTGATATGGAGATGAACTTCTCTCCATCCCTGAGGAATGATGCAAATGCACTAAAGCCATATTTCTTTCCACCTCTGAACACCTGTTGATATGCAGATGTACCAAAGCCAGGTGAGATATTCTGGAAATGTTAGTTTTACTCACAGGCCACCCCTCCAGAAATCTCACCTTACCATTTACTCGTTCCCCCTCTTCTGACCAATCTAGTAACATACAATAGCAACAAAAATAAAATCTTGATAATCCTTCAGCCAGAGGATTCAGCCTATGCAGATTAAGTAAATATACTTTACAGCACAATCTCTCACTAAGCACAAAATATGTTTCTATACTTGTGTACTCATTCCTATCAACCATGCTAGATTAGTCACAAAATTTTACCAAACATTAGACAAAATCAAGCCTCTATGCATTTTTTCCTTGACAGCAGCAACACAATCATGATAATTCTCAAGCGAGAGGATTCAGCTAGGTTCAAAGTCCCATGTAGATTAAGTCCAAAACTCATCCATTCCAGCCATCATACAGCAGCTGCAGCCAGGGGGTGCATCCAGGACATAAGGACTGCAGAAGCAAATAACTGTGATTGTGGGGAGACATTCTGCTGTTCTTCCAGGAATACAGAGGAGGCCAGCTTCCAGGCCTTTTCTCCAAGGTGACATAAGAGCCAACCATCACCGATCCATGTACTGAAATGTCCAAGACCATGTCTATTTTATTCCTAATTGCTGCACCCATCCTTGCAACTCATGCCCTAAAAAGTGGGTGCCTTGATCACTTGCAATCTGCCATAGGCTGCAAAGAGATGCTCTAAGCCTGTCTTGGCGATTTGCTGATCTGAACAACATGCAGGGCACTCCTTCTGGGATCAGCTGATTTCTTCAAAGGTCAAGCGCAAGCCCCACTGATGGGCTACAGCCCACATTGTCTTTTGCCCCACGTGCAACAAATGCTGATGTAGCCATTGGGCCACATCAGAGGCAGGCTTTCCTTCTAGTTAGAGTACCTGGGTCAATGAGTCTGCTTCACCATTCCCTGAGGATGCCAAAGGCAAATGGCCAGCCACATGATATATGGTAGGTGTCTGCGCCACACCACTCCATGGCCTTTGGGTCCAGTCTCTCACCCACACCATGATGATGGGATAGGTGGTTATTACTGAAAGGGTATCTTGCCATGACCCTCCTTACCCCAGAATGACTCAGGAGACATGGGCCCACGCAAGAGATTTTGTTATCTGAAAGAGAAAGTGGCTGCCCCTAGAGAGAGACAGAGAGCAGCAGCATGGTGCAGAGTTGTGCCTTTTATTGTGGCAGAGTACCATTTGGCCTGTTGCCTTGGGGGAGGGTCAAAATGTTAAGAAATAAGGTGGGGCAAGCCCAGACAAGTCGAGGCGTAATTCTCACTGGTTTATGTGCTTGGGACCATGGGGTAAATGGAGGATAAATTACTATATTCTATTCTTATATTCCTCCCTTTTCTGTTTTATAAATGTAAGGCTGGAGGCACCAGAGGGAGGAGTGAGCACATCAGATGAGCTCAGCCCTAACCAAATAAAAGGGGGCAGCAAAGCCCCCAACCCTGGCCTAGTAAAGGAAAGAAACTAACAGATTCCAGCCTGATGACATGCCAAAATCCCCGGCTGCTGCCCCCTCCCAACCTGGAAAAGGTGCCTTAGGCTAGCCAATCCTCATGCCACTGTAAACCTATGCTCTCCCTCCCAACTTCTTTAAAAACTTGCTGCCTGTCCTGATGGGTGTGACTTCTGCCTGTGACTAACCAGACTGGTAAACATCACTTGGGATTTCACCCTATTAAACTTTTTGCTCCTTTGTAGCCTCTTTGCCTGGTTATTTTGGCTCAATTTTACCTTACAGCTGGTGCCAAAACCCGGGAAGGAGATAAGGTGTGGAGCTCCAGCCAGCCACCGGCAGCTCCCACCCCTCCTTCCCTGATCTGGGACCTCTGCCTATTCTCAGCACCTCGGATGACTATTTGGTGAGTCCCTCCTTTCCCCGTGTCTGTTTTCCCAGTCCTGTCTCCACCTGGTTCGAAATCATAGCTATGTCCAAGTTCTCTGGGCTTTAAGCCTGTCCTGGTCCCGAGATGGAGGAAAGATCCTCATCTGGGCTCCCAGATCTCTGAGGAAGAGTATGATACTTCCCTGTCTCCTCCTAACCTGAGCAAGTTTGGGATGCTAGGCTTGCCAGTTTAGGGGCTCCGGGAAACAGGTAACAGACATGGGAACCAGTCCTCTAAATCAGAGGCTCAGACCTCTCTGCGGTGTCTCATATCCAATCTGGCAACCCTAGATATGGTAGAGGAGATCTGTAAATGGAAACTGGTCTGACTCTTCTCAGACTTGGCACCAGTATCCTCTGGACAATCAATGTCACTGGCCCTCAGAGGGAACTTTTGATTTTAACCTCCTTACTGACCTAACTAATTTCTGTCACTGAACTGGAAAGTGGTCTGAAGTCCCATATTTCCAGGCCTTTTGGACTTTGCGCTCCTGCCCAGACCTTTATGTTGTGTTCAATGACCCAGGTTCTCCTGGCCCGATCTCCAGTTAGGGATTGCCAGCCTCTTACTCTGACCAGTCCTTCTCCTTTTCAGATCCACTAGAGGACCTCAGTAGCCCACCTCCCTCAGCTCACGATCCCCTCCCCCTCTCTCCACCGCCCTCTTTAAGTCCTTTGTCCTCACCAGTGTTGCTGCCATCTTTAGGTCCTTCATTCTCAATCATGCCATCCTCCTGCTCCTCTCCTCTTCTGGTGTCCATGCCACCCCCTCCCCCTCTCCTTCTGCCTTCACTGCCCTCTTTCCCCACCAGAACAGGCTCCTCCCGCCCTCCGGTTCTGGAAGCCACAGACAAGACTCCTCCCAGCACAGACCCACCTCCTTTCTCTCCTGACCCTACACTCCTCCCCACACCTGCTGTTCCCTGTTTGTATCCTCCTCTTCCAGTGGTGCCACCATCTTGTCCTTCATTTCCTGTTCCCACCCTGCCACCATCTTATATGTCCACGCTGCCCTTAGTGCCCAGTTGGTCTAGCCCTCCAGTCACCAGATCCAAGGCCCAGCAGCCACCCCAAACAAAGGCCTAACTAGTAGCCCCTCTCTGAGAGGTTGTGGGGGCAGAAGGGGTTGTCTGGGTTCACATCTCTTTTTCCCTAGGGGACCTATCTCAGATTAAGAAACGCATAGGCTCTTCTAACCCCACAGTTTATACCAAAGTTTGACTACCTAACTTGGGCCTATGAACTTACCTGGCATGATATAGATGTTATCCTAACCTCCACTCTTGCCTCTGAGGAATATGACCATGTTACCTCAGCCTCCTGACATTGTGCAAATGAGGCACATAATACAAATCAGGCCGAGCCAATTGGGACAGAGGTGGTTCTCCTCATGGACCCCCAGTGGACTATAATAACCAAGACGGGGAAACTCAGAGCGACCGAATGCTCAGGTATTTACTGGCAGGTATGAATAAGATGGCTCAAAAGTCCATTATTATGATAAACTGAGAGAGATTACTCAGAGACCTGATGAGAACCCAGCCTGTTTTCTTAACTGGCTCACCGAGGCTCTCTCCATACATACCCACCTTGACCCCAACTCATCATTGGGGTCCATGATGTTGGCTACTCATTTTATTACCCAGTCAGCCCCAGACATAAGATGTAAGTTAAAAAAGGCAGAAGAGTGGCCCCAGACTCCACTCCGTGAGTCTGGGGCCAAGGTAACCATGGCCTTTAAAGTCTTTAATACCCATGATGAAAAACATGAGAGGATAGCATCCCAGACTCGAGCCTTCGTGGCAGCCCTACAGCCAGCAGAACAGGGGTCTCATCACACCAAAGACTGGTCTGGAGCTTGTGAGCTTCTGGGATCTTGCTTCTGGTGTGGCCAAGAGGGCCACTGGGCAAAGAGATGCCCCAACCTGACTAATAAGCCGACTAAACCCTGCCCGATTTGTGGTAAGAGAAGTCATTGGAAGGTAGAGTGCCCAGCTGGAGAAGCTTGTCCCCCTGTGACAGAGTCTCGCTGGAGGCAGAACCCCCTGAGGGACTCTCCCCCAGACCTGCTGGGCCTACTCGAAGACTGAAGCTACCTGAACTCGAACACCCTGATCACCCTTGCCGAGCCCAGGTCCATGCTGTGGGTAGTCCGTCTCCTTTTTGGTGGACACAGGGGTTACCTACTGTTTTACCTTCCTTTCACAGCTGTTTATATCCTTCCCAGTTCTCAGTCGCGGGTGTCATGGGAATCCCCTCCAAGCCTCTGGAGACAAGTCCGGTAGCCTGCACGTTTGAGGGCGATCTTCTTACCCACTCATTTCTAGTCATCCCGCCCTGTCCCATTTCTTGTTAGGGAGGGATCTCCTATCCAAGCATGGTGCCTTGATCTCCCTGCTGCTTAGTCATTCCCAACCAAGTTCACTCATCACCCTAGCCAGTATAAGTTGTGGCCCCGAGGCCTCTGTGGACCCTCCTGTACCATCGACCGATGTTAACCTGATGCTCTGGGACACTTCTACTCCTGTAGTGGAGAGCCATCATGCTCTGGTCCTCATCCACCTCAAGGACAAGTCCTCCTTTCCTTCTAGGCCCCAATTTCCTATTTCCCAAGCCCATCGCAAGGGCATCCAACCTATCATTAACCGTCTTCTTTCCCAAAGGCTTCTGGTACCAACTAATTCTCCCTGTAACTCTCCAATCCTTCCAGTCAAGAAGCAATCAGGGGCCTACCGGCTTGTTCAGGACCTGTGGATAATCAACGAGGCTGTAGTCCCTCTTCACCCAGTCATCCCTAACCCTTATACTCTCTTATCTCATTTTCCCCTGGGCACCTCTCCTACCTACCTTACTTCTCATCTCCTCAGGGAACACGCAGACCAGTTCTTGCCTCAACCCACCTCCCCCTTGGATCCAAGAATCATGGAGGCTCTACAGCCAGGAGACGAAGTCCTTCTTAAAGAACTCCAACCTCAGTCACTCCACCCATGGTGGATGGGACCATATATGGTGATCCTTACCACTCCCACGGCTGCCAAGCTATTGGGACACTCCCTGTGGTACCACATCTCCAAGCTCAAATGAGCACCCAGTCATGATAGGCAGAGCTCTAGAGACACAGGGCCCCTCCATTTGCACCTTACTCGCACTAGTGCTGGCCACAATGACCCATCTGGCTCTAGCAAACTGGGTCTGTGACATGTCCATCACATCGGGTATGCTCCAACTACACCAATTGGTCCCTAAGACATGTTACTTTCAAAAGATATCTTATCAGCAGAGAGACCACTTGTACTGGGCCACTATGATGTTGAGATTTCCAAACTGGCTACCCAGGAGGAATTGGCAAGATCATTTGCTGGGTACGAGACCCTCCACCAAATCCCCAAGGAAAGATACCCCCTTGTCCCACCCAATGCTCATCTTTCCATTCCTTCATCCAGGCTGCCTGCTATGAATGAGCCTCAGTCTGTCTCTCATTGTCCGGACAACAGTACTGGATGGGGCGAAGCCTGGGTAATCATGCTGGATATGTCTGTCCTGGGAGACAAGGACAACATATCTGCTGGAACCTCCGGCCACTGATAGTGAGGTCAGACAGTAAAAGTGCACAAGACTATGCTGGTACATCAGTACTCGCCCTTCCCTCCAAGCCTCCTCTGGCCTCCCACCAGCCTTAACCCTGCCTGTGCTGCCCCTCCTCAGCCGGAAGTAGCCAGATTGAGTGGGCACCCATTATAACCAAAAGGCTGGAATGTAAGGCTGGAGGCACTGGAGGAGTGAGCATGTCAGATGAGCTCAGCCCTAACCAAGTAAAGGGGGGCAGCAAAGCCCCCAACCCCGGCCTAGTAAAGGGAAGAAACCAACAGATTCCAGGCCTGATGATGTGCCAAAATCCCCGGCTGCTGCCCCCTCCCAACCTGAAAAGGTGCCTTAGGCTAGCCAATCCTCACGCTGCTGTAGACCTATGCTCTCCCTCCCCGTAACTTTTTAAAAAACTCACTGCCTGCTCTGCTTGGTGCGACTTCTCTGGCCTGTGACTAACCAGACTGGCAAACATCGCCCGGGATTGTGCCCTATTAAACTTTTTGCTCCTTTGTAGCCTCCTCGCCTGTTTATTTTGGCTCAATTTTACCTTACAATAACTGGTAGAGGACTTGGGAAGGGGTGAAGGTCAGTCTTCAGTAACTGCTTCCTGCTGATTAGGGGCAATGAAGTTCATTTTTGTATTGATGGGGGGCGGTCCTCAGATGAGCCCTTGGTCTGAAGTGGTGATGCCTGCCTGTTCCAGGTTTAAAAAGGATCGCTGTCTTTGGAGAGGGGTTGGTAATCCTGTAATACAAGCTGGTTAAAGGTTTGTGTAGAAATTTTCTGCATTTGGGCTGATTGCTATGTTTACTAGAGTGGCTGAATTACAGCATTATTTGGGGACATATGTGTAGGCAGAAAAGTAACCTGTAGGGCAAAGGGAATCCTTGATGGTGCAATCTTATGGACAGTCTGAAAGAGAAGAAAGGGCTGGTGTTGGGAAGGAAGGTTTGGTGAGAGAATAAGTGTTGAGACCAGGGTTAACAATCCTGAAGCATGATGCATGGCGGTTGTAAGGGAGGTCTTAGTACTATGTGCTGGCAGAAACTTCTTCAGTGATAAGTGGAAGTGGAGATGAGCAGCATGAAATGCGGAGAGTAAGAGGTCCCATCAGGGTGGAGGAGTAGGAACCTGTGGGAGATTTGGTGGGAGGGGAATAAGGGGAGACAAATGGCTTAAGGTGAGAGTTACGTATCCAATGGGGAAGACCCTGGAATTTAACTGCAGTTGGTGTGGAAAGGATTACTGTGTATGGTCCTAGCCATTTGGGAGTTAGGGATGGTGTCGCTTGGTGTGGTGGGGATAGGAGCACAGAGTCTTCTGGGTGATAAAAAGTAGGAGAAGTGGGGTCTTGAGGTTTTGGTATATAGAGGTCAGCATGGGACCAGAGTAGAGAGCGAATGTGTTGAAGTAAACGGTTGACGAGATGAGGAGGAAGGATAAGAGGTTCGGAGTTAAGACCTGGAGGAAACATGGGGCGGCCATACATGAGTTCAAAAGAAGAAAGTGTAGCAGGCTTTTTTGGTTAGGCCTGGAGTCTAAGTAGGGCCAAGGGGAGGAGTTTTATCCAGTCAAGGTGGAGCTCCAGGGATAATTTAGTAAGAATAGATTTGAGGGTTCTATTGTTCTTTCCACTTTACCTGAGGATTGTGGGTGATAAGGGATGTGAAAATGCCATGGAATATTAAGGGCTTTAGTGGTTGCTTAGGAGATTTGAGAGATAAACTCGGGGCCATTGTCTGATTGTAAGGAAGTAGGTATCCCAAATCGTGGGATAATTTCAGACGGTAGGATGTTGGAGACAGTCTGGGCTCATTTGTTAGTTGTGGGAAAGGCCTCAAACCATCCTGAAATTGTGTCCATCAGTACTAAAAGATACCGGTGGCATTTTACTGGGGGCATGTGAGTAAAGTCGAGCTGCCAATCAGTCCCGTGAATGAGCCCTCTTGCATGATGGGTAGGAAAGGTGGGTGGTCGAGAAGGTGAGTTGGGATTGACTTTTTGACAGATCTTGCATGAAGTGGTGAGTATTTTGAGGAAGGCAGTTTCTGAATGAGAAAGAGGCAGGTAAGTTTTGAGAAAGCGTTGTAAAGATTGGGGGTTGGGGTGGAATAAGTGATGTAAGTAGGAGAGTATGGCCTTAGTGGAAGGCAGGCCAGTAGTTGTGGGAATGGATTTTTTAGAACCTGGAATGAGGCCATCTATTACAAGGGCTAACGCTGCCTTTCGGCCTGCCTCATCTGTCCTGTTGTTACCAAGGGAGATGGATGACTGATCTGACCAATGGGAGTGGTAATGTAGTAGGCCCATGGCTGTTGGAAAATGTGAGGCTTCTATTAGTGGTATAATGTGTTTGGGTTGGTGATAGAGCTGCCCTTGGGGTTGAGGAGTCCCCGTTCTTTCCAGATTGCTGAGTGGGACAGCAGGATATGGAAAGCATATGTAGAATCAGTATAGATAGTAAGAGAGGACCCCTGCACCAAGGTGAAGGCACGGGTAAGGGCAATTGGTTCTGCTTGTTGGTTTGTAGTGTTAGGAGGTAAGGGCTTTGCCTTGATAGTTTTGTCCAGAGAGACAATGGCATATCCTGCCTGTCGAACACCCTCATGGATAAAGGAACTGCCATCAGTAAACCAGGTATATGTGGCCTGAGGAAGGGTGCCCTCCTGAATGTGGGAGGAACAGGGTAGGAGTTCATCTAGAGTTTGTAAACAGTCATGGAAGGGGGGGCTGTGATCCTGCCTGTGAATTAGGAGGTAATGGAATAAGGGTGGAGGGATTAAGGGGAGGACAGGTTTTGAAATTGAGGGAGGTGTGCTCAACTAGGGCAACCTGAAGTGATAGAATCCTTCAGCGGGAAAGGGTCTGCAGGTCTTTGTAGGTAAGAATTTCGGAAAGAGGATGAGGGGAGAAAACAGTTGTGGTTGACCTGAAGGTGAGTTTTTTGGATTCTTAAATGAGGACGGCAGCTGCTACTAGGACACGCAGCCAAGGCTCCCATCCCCGAATAGTAGGATCTAGTTTTTTGGAAAGATAGGCAACCAGGCAAAGGACGGTCCTAACATATGTCCCAGAACTCCCAGGGCAAAGCCCTGCTTTTCTGAGACATATAGAGAAAAGGTGCGTGTGAGATCAGGCAAGTGCAGAGCGGGGGCTTGTGGAAGGGCCAGCTGGAGTCTATAAAAGGGCTTACCCACAGGCATCAGGAGGGGCTCAGCGAGAGGTCCTCAGGATGCTTCATATGGGGGCGTGGCCAGGAGTGAAAAGTTGGGGATCCATGAATGAAGGAACCCAGCAAGACCCAGGAAAGAGAGAATTTCATCTTTGTTACTTGGAATGGGCATGGTTTGGAAAACTTTTTTCCTGTCTATGGTAATAGCCTTGTAGCCGGGGAGAGCTGAACTCCCAAGTATGTGACCTGAGTGCAGACAGCTGAACTTTGGAGGGTGAAACCCAATAGCCATGTTCTGGGAGAAAGTTTAAAAGGAGAATGGTATCCTGTTGAGAGGTTTGTAGGGAGGGATTGCACAGGAGAAGATCACCTACATATTGAAGGAGGGTGGAGCTTGAGAGAGTAAGGGATTTGAGGTCTTGTGCTAGAGCCCGTCCAAAAAGGTGGGGACTATCTTTAAAGCCTTGGGAAAGGACTTGTTAAGTGGTCTCTGAATATAAAAAATTAACATAAGGAATTTCCTGCCTTGATTTTTCTCTGGGATACCAGCATCTTGGTCTGGGAGCATATCAAAAGGCTGCCTGCTCAGCCCCCAAGGTGGGCTGAGGTATTGTCTATTTGCTAAAGAATCCTGCCTCTTAAACTTCCTGGGTGTTAAAATGCAATCTTTAAGATGGAATTTTTCCTGCCTTTTACTATGCCATCTACAGCTGGGTCTGCATGCTAAATTAGTTGCTCAGTTTGCAAAATTACCTCGTCAGATCTGAAGGAGGAAAGACATTACATAGGCCTGGGCCTTTTAGTATGCTAAAGTGAATCTTATACACGATTACAAGTGATTAGCATAATAAAACATGTGCTACTCTTCTTTATCTGGGGGAACATTAACTGATCTCACTGGAGTGATTCTAGAGCTTAATGTTCAACATAGTTTTAGTGGGGGGGGGTTTCCTAGCATGTAGTTACATTGCTCTGACTGCAAATATCCTGCCTTGCTTTTTCCAGAGGCTCTTACCCTATTTGGTCTAAGCCCAATGGTCCCTGTCTCATTCCCCCCTCTACAGATAGAGACTTTAGCTGCTGCTAGGGAAAGGGGGCAATGACTGCTCTGGCTGCATCATGCTGAGAGGGGGCACAGTATGGGGTGCAGTTAGGTCTGTATTACTGGTCATTTGAGAGGGCCTTGGAAAATTAGCGCTTCTATTCTGGGTTTCATTTCTATTACTATTACTATTTGCAGTTTTATGGCTTCTAAGCAAGATAGAACAAATCGTGTTATTAGGTTAAGTAGCAACATCTGGAGTTGGATTTTCCATTCTGGAAGGACAAACTTGATGAGATTAAGAATGCATGGCTGAATATGAGAACTAGAAACACGAATATTCTAATTGAGAATCATAGCCAGATATTACAGGGAAACTAGAATTCTGGATCGAGTTTACATGTCAATGGTATTAGGATTTAGTATAGATAAGACTGAATTATTGAAACAATACTTTTCTCTAAAATCACCCTCATTTTTATTAGAAGTAGCCAGATTAAGAAAACATTTAACAGTTGGCTTGATTATTTGCATAAGTGCAGCAAGAAGAGCAATAGATTACATAGGATCTTTTAAATGTACTTTGCTGTAACTTTTTATAAGGAATTTCAGATTGTACTTTTAAAGGCTTCTTGAGGCCAGAAAGCCAAGCCAGACTTGCCATTAGGTTGTGCCTGCAGTACCTGTAGATTTGGGTGAATTCCTCTCTTCTTGAGATTCCCAAGACATTCCTGAGGTTCCTGTCCCTGCCAGGAAATGACCTTCCTTACTCACCTGGTAAGGCTGCTGGGAACCCTGTAAGCAAGGTACCAGGCCAATTCTTCTAAGGGGCTTTGTTGGCTTTATAAAGTCAATCTTAGTTCCTTAAAGCTGTTCATATCTGAGTTTATGCATGTGTCTCTCAGGTATAACATTCCAGTCAAAGCCTTGGTAATATAACCAGTGTTTTTAATTGGTCTTGTTACAAGGAAAGCAGATTCTTATTGAGTTTATGCAAATAAACATACTGCTATGAAATATAAAAAATACTCACTGAAACTTTTTAAATTCTGGAGGGGTCAGGTAGAAAGATAAATGTTTCAATTCTGCTTATGAAGGTATTATTATTTATTAAACTTGTCAGCTTAAGAGAAAAAGCTTAAAACACTTTATCAACATTTGAAACAAAAAGCCACAAAATCATTTTCTTTAGTTGACTTAATCTTATGTAACTAATACCTGCTCTGTTGAAATCTAATTTTTACTAGTTTAGGATATTTGTTCTGCTGGAATGTAATTTTTTACTAGTTTGAGTAATAAAACAGGGCCTATAAGTGAAAAAAGACTTACAAATGACAATGGTTAAAGATCTGATGAGAGCTTACTGTAAGACAATTGACATAAGGAAATTCGGATATTTCTGTAACATAAAACATTCAGTAACAAAATTTAGCATCATTCCTTTTGACAGTGCTTTCTGTAAATATGTATCAGATAAATAAGCCATATTAGCCAAATATTTTCCTCAATGAGGAGAAAACATTTTTCTGACATGTTCCAGGCGCTCTCTGGAAAATATCAGAGTGAACTAGAGGTGAAAAACACCTTTTTGAATT